AGCTGCACAAGATCTTGAATTAATCGAGCACAAATTTAGGAAACCTTTCAAGTTGTACGAACATCTGTATTCAAGACATTTTATCGGAGATCAGTGATGGTACCACTCAGATCAACAACAACTTATAGTCAATGATCCATCAAAAAATCGTATCTGAAAGGGTATTTACACGGTAATTAAATGCCTGTTTTTTGATTTTATAAATTTATTACTTTTAGACATAAATTCGTTCCTAGTTAAATTGTCTAAAAACGGTGGGAAAATGTCAGATGGCTAAGAACTGACGTTTAACGAACAGTAAATGATTCTGATCTGCCTAAAACTAAATACAAGAGGAAGATGGATAAGGTCGTTTTCCGTCCCCCAATGTTTCTGAAAACAAATCATATATTCAGAATCAGCATCGAATTGTGAACAAAATGACACATTTGATTTACTAAAAATTCGACCTTCATTTTTTCCGAAAAATGTTAGGCTTTGTCAGTGTGGAGACATATCCCTATCGGGATACATGTTGAAATTATACCCGATCAGGATACAAAAAAAGTTTTGTTCGTTCATGTAATTTCTTACTTTTACATTAACTCATTGGCAGCGATGTGACCCACCGATGGATCATAGTATACTTGATTATTATACAAGGCTGAGCTTAGCAGATAAAATTCAGAAAATTCAGTTTCATCTTCTAGGCTCAGTTTTGGAAAACATCTTGATAGTAGAAAACCGCAAAAACCACATTTTTTAGCTAATTTTCAATTTTTCACTACAAAGAAAGTCAAGCTTGAATTTGGAACAATAAATGTAGTAGATTCTGCCATTTTATCGACTACCGGTTTTCACCACACGATAGCCAAGACTTTCTAGAATTTTTACTACAATCGCTACATACCTACATACATGTATTTTTGTCTCTTTTTGGGGAGAATAGTTGGAGAGGGATTTCGTTAGTTTTTCGCTTCGGAATTCAATGTTCTAGAGTACCGTATAATATTCCTAATGTACGCGTATGCGTCGACCCTTAGTTTCTCAGGTTCGTGTCCCCACGTATATTTCAAAATGACGTTCCTAGGCTGAGTTATAAATTTTTTTCAGAAAGTACCTGATATTTCAAAAGTGATACTCGATCGTGAAAGAGCTATCTTTCGGTAACCATTAGGAGCCAGCAAAGAAAATGCATAGTGTAGATAGAGAAGAGTCAGGGCTACATTTTAGTAAAAATAAAAGGTTTTCAGCTCTCTTGAGCCAAGAGTTAATAGTATTTTACGGGAAATGACACGCTTATACGTCATGAACCATTCAGTAAAAGAGGCTTAAACTTGCTGGTTGATCAGCATTTAGTGAGTGCTATATCTACACAAAATTAGAAGGCCTTAGCTATCATGTTCTTGAGTTAGTTACAGGGGGAGGATACTTTCGAAGAATACTGTAAGCCACCGGTGACCTACATCGGTGCCAATGTGTTAAAATGTTTTTCATCAAATCTAATTAGTTTGAAAGAGGTGTTTGCCGTGCCAGACAATACGAGTATAAATGCCGCAACGACTGGAATGATGATGTTCTTTTGGCATCTTCAAAAATGTTAACATCACAACTGTTACACGTTTTAAAAGATACAGGAAGTTGCGATTCCGTTATAAAAAAACACACGGCAATTTATCTGCACGAATGAATAGTTAGAAAATTCCCCGTTAAACACAAAGCACGTGTACTTATTTATTGTCTACGCATCAGAAAAGAAATGTGTGTTCCAATATATGCGTTTATCGAAAAGGAAGAAATAACAAACGACGGTCGATGTGGAAAGCGATTAGATTAAGAGTATATCTCCCATTCTAAACAATAAAAGGTTAACCGCCTATCATTAGAGGCACGTGGGGCAATTAGAACGCGGTCAAAAAGTTTTGCGGCATTTTTTTCGTAACTTTGAAAGCTTAGAAGTTTTTTCAAAACTTCCAATGCAAGAGTTGTAGATGATGGTAGTAGGCACAGAATAGTGCAAAAATCAATCGGAAATCTCACCAGCAAAAGGATTGGGAGTAGTTTTACTGTGAGAGGGTCTGAAACGTTCTTATTTCCCGCAAGTGGGAAGTTAGAACGTTTGCTGTGTCTGTACGGGGTAAATGGAACGCATCTACCAAAAGTAATGGGATTTTCTTCAAAATGTATTTTCTATTTTATATCTCTATTTCACACTATAGATACAAAGTTCTTTAGAAAAAAGATTTAGAGAATTATTTCATTCATGAGCTAATGTGCTTTGGAAAGTCAATGCACGTACTCCAGAATATGACAGAGAGCACGAAGAGGATTTCTCCATGTTCATACAACGGGAGCATGGAGAAGTGTAAAGGATTATTTTGAAAAAATTTTCTAATCGCAATAAAACTTTGCAAATCATATGAGCGGTGGTGTATGCCTTATGTGATATGTCGAGGAAGTTTGTCATCATGAAGATGACAAACTTCATATTACTCTAACAAGCAACTGCCAAGAACGATCGCCTAACTTTTGGTGAGGGATGAGGATCGCTGATACCATTAGAAGAAGGAAGATCAATGAGGTCAAGAACCTCATTCTATAAATATTTTTTCAATATCTGTCGTTGTTCTTAATATGGTCATTAATACAATTTTGCATGATTTTTAGTTTATAGACTATGGGAGCATACTTTGTGTTTCAAAAGGGAAACGTATTAAGAAGACTGTTCGTAATAGAAACAGTCACCGAAACGTTTTCAGATTGTGTACCATATGTGGGACTATTTGTTGCAAAATGTGGAACAAGGCTCGTGCTTTGGTTACCACAACTGTTAGATTTAATTAATACCGGGTGTCCTAAAAGTCCAAATGAAAAAAAAACTTTAATAACTCCGTCATTTCTTAACTAAACTTCACGAACATTTCTTGCTCAATGAAGGAAAGTTTCAAGTTTTATTTGATGTGTTTGGACATTTTTGTTAATGCTTGAAAGAATTGTTTGGATTTACTATAGTAAGACTTGCGAGATGTGTCCTACTATAACTCTCAGTTTTAGAAAGCATCAGTGCTATGTCAATTATTTTGTTATGTGAAAGGGAACATCATCTACTTTATTTTAATATTAAAAATCATTTAATTCCCATTCAAAAAGTTTTTCAGTAGATAACTTATTAAGAAAAGGTTTTAAAGTACCTGAATCTCACCCCACTATAATAAATCCAAACAATTTTTTCAAGCATTAACAAAAATGTTCAAACACATCAAATAAAACTTGAAACTTTCCTCCATTGAGCAAGCGGAAATATAGGAATTTTGACCGAGATAATTGAGTTTTATGTGCAGATAGCGTTGATGACCTAATTGAGTTAGTGTCGTTCTAGTACCTCATGATGATGCTTGAAAATATATGAAATTAGCTAGACATATTCAGGAGCATGTAAACTTTCTAAATAGTATATTATAAGCGCTTAAAATGTCAATCTTCTTTGTGAAAAACCGACTAAAAGTAAAAAAGCCTTGAAAAATCCTATATTGCATGTCGTAAATTTTTTCCCGGCGGCCAAACAATAAATGGAAACAATATGAAAACTATGCAGAACATACAGTTTTAAATGGGTCTATTGGATGAGGCTAGTTTGAGCTGAAATAAAAAAAATTCTTTTTTCAAAAATTCTTTTTCGAACTAGAGGTTTTCTAGAAAACTTTTGAAACTTTTTTTTAATATGTAGTTTGATAGAATATCAAATTCTGAATATAGACAAGCAGTTTAATTTAAGGCATTTGCGTCAACTTTTAAAGCAATTTAAAACTGGGTTACATCCCGTGAAGTTTATCTGTGCATTTGAAACAAAGACTTTCTGACACTAACTTTTTCTTCGTAAAAAAATGTTTATACGATTTCTCCATAAGCCAGTGGAAACCCTATGAGAAAAAGAAAGAATCACAAAAGTGATAATTTTAATAAAAAGATGAGCACAGATACGTGCATATATGGTACATATCCTTCCATGATCGAAAACATCTAAGAATATACGAAGAACTATTATCCGTCTCATATTTCAAGAATAAATCATTTTTTCTAAGAAAAAAATTATATTACATTTTCTCGAAACCTTTTTTTCTTTTAGAGCGTTTCGTATTTGTAAGAATCTGTCATAACCTTTCAAGTTATCATCTCAGAATTGAAAGAGATAGATGTTACTATTCTTGTTTAGACTACATATTCCAGTACGCATGAATTGTTCTCAGTTAGCTTCATCATTAATATCCGTTGAAAAGATTTAATGTTGAATTGTACAGATATTATGTAGAAGTCCTTAATCATCAGGCAATAGTATGATGAAAACAAATCATTGTTACTATATACCGTGAAATTTTAATCATTTTTTCGTTGTGTGGACTGATTGCGAAGAATATTGAGTTTTTCGAGCATTTATATTAGTATTTCTTTTTTTTTTGTTAAACACATTCCACAAGAAAATAAATAAACACCATCAAAATAAAAATACATTCTTTTTTTCACACGTACATTGAGGAATAACAATGAAGCGTATATTAAAATCTATTAAGATCATATTTGAACAATAATAACAGACATTACAATAAAAAAACAAAAAATAGTTGTACACAATAAATCAAATACAAGTACGACTAGCTAAAAAGCAAGATCACTAGGATTTATAAGTAAAAAATACACTTCATTTCTTATTTATATTTTCTGTAAGAGAAATGAAACAAATTTAAAGCATCTTTCTATATATCTCACTTATTCAACATCAGAAAAATGGAGAGAGAGAGAGAAAAAGAGAGAAGAAAATAAGATCTGTAATTGGCACCTAGTTTGTTCAAAACAGTACGCTAGTTTCAATGATATAACAATTTAAAAAAATCAAGATCTATTAAAAACTGGAAAAAACCTGCCGGAGATTCGACGTTTCACATCATCTTGGAGAAAAGGAAAGTTATGTGAATCTGACAAGCAACTAGAAATATAAAACAAATAATCTTGAAATGGAAATAATGTTATTGTTTATTTAATCGTTCAATTTCTTTACTTAATGTATCTACACTCTCTTTTAATGTGATATTTTTTAATAGTGTATCTTCTAGAACTGCTTGCAGTTTACTCATAATATCATAACTTGTTTCCATTGTCATATTAGACTGTTCTGACGTTTTATGTCCACCACCGTTCAATAAATGAAATGGATTCGTTGCATGTGTATATAATGTAGCCATTATTGAATTAGAACTATTTTTTTTGGACGTCAATTCTTGCTTCATATGATCAGCAGCATCTGATGTATACATAAATACATCTTCATTCATTGCATAAGCTTGAATAACTTTTCGTTTATTTTGTAAATCTTGAGTTAATATGAGAATATGATCATTGAGAAATTCAATTTTTTCTTTACGTCTAACTAATAATTTTTGTTGTTTAAGTAGTTTATCAATGAGTTTTTGACGATCAATATCAACAATATTTACCACCATTTCATCACAATCATTATTTGATTGTTCAATTGCTATATGATCTTGAACAATTGTAGTGATGGGTGGTGGTTGATCATTTAATGAACAACATGAACTGGTACGTGAACCACGTGATGAACTACCATCACCATTTTCTTTACGAACAAGTGGACTTTGTTTTGGGCTAGAATGAAAAGACTGCACGTCAGAAACAGATGATGAATTTGATTCTAGAACATTTGCTAGCGAATACTTATTCATCGAACACCTTTTAATAATAGAAAGCATTGAAATAGTTGATAAAATATTTTCAAATTAATTAACATATCATATATCTTCAATTTATTTTTATACGTTCAATGAGATCTCACAAACATTATATTACTTGCAGAAATGGTATAAATTATAAAAAAAAACAAATTATCACAATGTTATTTTCAAAATATTTGTCACCATTTCTAGTTACTACTGTACATTTAAAAATGTACTCGGTTATTTGTTAAATAACTCAAACTAACTGGGCTAAAACTTTCGACGGGCGCTTGAATGTCATCCTTTTACATGAAGCAAACGTGTAAGATAAAACCTGCTTCTTACATACTTCAAAAGACTTTTAAAGGATCTCTAGAAAATCTGTCGATTTTGGGATGGAAATGGTCGTTTTCTGACAGTGGGATTGTGCGGAAGAATGTCGGTTGACTCTTTTCTGAAAGTTTCAGTCCAACTGGATAAGAACTTACCGAAGTGAAGTCATCTCACTGGAAAACAGATAGCATCTAAAATTTGGCTGTTTTGCTGATCTTCGTTTATTGAGCTTGGCTCAACTCAAAGAAGAGAACAAACTATGCAAGCGATTCAGAGTTGACGAAAATTTATGAATCCGTGATTTTAGCTCATACGTTAGGACGGCAACCGTGGTTCCGGACTCAGAAACCTGCTTTTCGGAGTCTTACTAAGCCAAAGCTAGCATATTCATCGAAGGTCAGAAAAATCTGAATATGTCAGGGTTTATAAAGTAGACATTGGATTACAATATGGCTAAATTGAAATTGAGAATACATCTGATCAAAGAATTAGTCAATGATTTTCCAGAAACCTCTTGGAAAACCTATAGAAAAATTTGTAAGCATTTTGATTCTGAGATAGATAGATGCTCCCAATCATCCTCTTTCTAATGGTCAAAACCCGTACTCGATAGCTATCAGCATTCCCCAGTTATTCAACAGACAACCGAGTGCATTCTATTTTGAAATGGACGGTAATCATGTTGGCAACCTAACAGTTGTTCCATAAAGAATGGATCTTTCAGTATTTTCGATATATTTCTTTCCATTTGAACCCCTTGAGTTATTTCTTTTATTAAAAATTCACCCTTCAATTCTCTACAAGATCATATGTATATAAATAGTGTAATAAAGGCCAATGCCCAAGTCTTGCGTGACGAAAGGTCGTCTAGAAATCTGAATTTTTATAAAGTTTTTTAATGAAGTTGATCTTGAAAAAATGTTTACGTAATTTTTATGCTCCATACAAGACTATTTTCAAAAAACCATTTTCAAAAAAAGGAAATAACTCAATGGGATCAAATGAAAAAAAAAATACATCGAAAATACTGAAAGCTCCATTCTTTATAGCGTACCCGATACAGGAAGAACGTCAGACACTACAATTCCAATGGATACAAATTGTCAACTCATAAAGATAAGTATCTGTCAGACAAATATCAAAAAACGCAAAATTGTTTCAGAATTCTTTGCATTTTATACTATTCCCAGTATGTACTTCAAGGTATATGATACGTTAATTAATTTGAAAATATTTTATAAACTATTTCAATTCAGTCTTCAAACTATTGAATTCAAGTTGTTAGAGGAGAAAGTATCCGTTACTCAATGAAATTGTCGTTTGTAAATGAGAACTTACTTTGTGGTTGGTGACGGTGTTGTATCACTTGATTTTTTCTGTAATTGCTGCAGTTGTTTAATCAAATCTTTGACGTTTGCCTGATGTTTTTTTTTTAATGTTTGATTTTCTATTTTTTCATCTTCATATTGTCTCGTACAAACGTCATATTTATTAAATAATTCTGTATATTTTAAGTTTAATTCGTCATAGTTTTGTTTAACTGTTTGTAATTCTTTTTCTAATTCAATCATTTTTGTCTGTTGTTCTCGATATAATTGACTGATCTCTACATATTGTTTTTCAATTGATTGATGCTTCAAAGTCAATTGCTCATAATCACTTTGAATAGTAGAATTTAATTCAGTTAATTTTTGCGTAAATTCTAATAGTTCACTTTTTTTATTTCGATATTGTTCATAATCATCTTTTAATTCTAAACAGTAAAAGTTAAACTGTTTGAAATTATTAACACAAAAGTATAGAAATTATTGAACTTTTCTAAGTATATAGATGATTATTATTCATCGACTGGTGAGTTATATGTTCCTTATAGTTACTTAGGTTAAAGGAGTAATAATCAAGATTTTGTATGAAAATTTATGTATGCTTGCTTACCTATATAATCGTGTTCAATCAATTTTAATTTAGCTAATTCTTCACAATCTTGTTCACGTAATTTAAGTAGATCATCATAAATTTTTTTATTTGATTCTTTTTCTTTTTTCATATTTAAATGATCTTTTTCCAATACATTTTCTAATGATAATTTATCTTCTTCTAATAATTTCATTTTTGATCGTAATAATGAATTTTCCTCAATTAAATTTGTCAGTTTTAGTTTTGATTGATTCTGTTCACATGTTAATTGATCACATTGTTGAACTTTTTCATTCACTTGTAATTCTAAATTTCGACATCGATCTAATATTTGTTTTGTTGCATCATCTACTAGATCATTGTTTGATGCGAGTACATCGTCACCGGATGATGGAACTATGTTTTGAGTAACTTCTTGTTGTACTAAAAATATTCAAAAATATATTATATAGTCAATACTCTATTATCACTTACATTCTGCTAATTCTTTATACTGTTTTCGTAATTGTTCATTTACTTCTTTCTGTTCAATATATTCTCGTTTGAGTCGTTCATTTAAATCTTTTTGTTCTTTTAATTGTTGTGTTTCTTGTTTTAAATGTGCCAATGTTGATTTTAATGTCTGATCAATAGATTGTGATAATTCTCTTAATTTATCTTGATCTTTTTTCATTTGTGATATTTCAGATAATTTTAAATCATAGGCTTGTTGAATGCGTATATTTAATGTTTTAGATTCCTGTAATTTTTGTTGAAATGAATCTTTATCACGTTGTAATTCATTTTGTTTTTGAATAAGTTGTTCATAACGTTTATCTAAATCGAGTGTACGTTTTTCTGACTGTGCATATTTAACAACTTGTGCTTGTTTTTCTTTAAGATTATCATCTTTGAGTTTTGAAATAAGTTGTTGATATGTTTGATCTTGATGAACAAGTTTAGAATTTAATTGATCAATTTCATTTATTTGAGATTGAATAATGGAGTTTAAACGAGCAATTTCAGTTTGATATTCATGTAGCTGATCTGAAAGAGAGTCATCATTGTCTAATACTGAAAAAGGAAAAGGCAATAGTAGAAACTGTATTATTATAATAATTTTAATGATTACCTGTAGATGTTTCTGGAATAATAATCTGTTCTTCAATAGTTGTTACTGAAGATTCTTCACCATGTTTATCATTAGCGATATCGTTTGAATTTTGTTCATTGTCTATCAGACACGTTTCATTTTGAACTACTGATACCGTTTCATTCGTATCTTGTGACAGAATATCTTTGTTTATTTGTTCTGTTGACATTTTAATATTTCAAATTTTGAAGCGGAAAAGAAATAATAAAAAAATACATTTTCACCGATTTTTCATCTAAAATGATAAGTTACAGAATAGGAAATAAAATACTAAATATTTGCTGAAATCTTTTTCTCTTGACTTAATAACGTATACATACATGAAAGTAAAGATTTAACGTAGTAGCTAGAATATTCTTTCGATGCTTTCATCAACAAATATGAAAATAACAATAATGTTTACGTATAGATTCGATTAAAACAGACTGTTTTTATTCTATTTCATGGTTATAATGCACCAAAATAAGTTGTTTAAAAAGACAAGAGAAAAAAGACGACATAATTAATAACCGTGATAGGAAAAGTAAATTTAAAGAAAGAAAAAAGAAAAAAAATACACTTGAACAATAAATTTTGCCATAGTTTGTGTGTTTATTAATGTACAGATAAACATAATAATAAAAATATTCTTTTTTTTCTTTTAAATAGCCACAAAAAAGAAAATTTCACAGTGACGACTAGAAGACAAGAAAATAAAATAAATTCGGAATGGAAAGAAAGAAATAACAATAATAGCAACAATAATAATAAATAGACGTATATTTCATTATCGTGTTCCATAAAGTGCCGAAAAAAGATCACCAAAGTTTAATAATTGTGTTGGATCAGCACCACGTTGTGTCTGATTCCAAATATAAACGGCAGCGGCACTGATCGTTAGTGTAACACCCCACAAAACAAAACGTGGATAATTTTGAGGTCGTTCATCTGGCATTGTAGCTGAACGATACCGTAAAATTCGACCAGATTTGTTTTCATCACTATATTTTATTTCAGATTCAAGATATTCACTACAACAAAATAATCTATACTATAGAGACTGTAACTAATGAATTAACTTCAAACGAATGCAATTCGAACAAAACATTCGAAGCAAAGACATTAGTCAGTAAGTTGAACTTTTCAAATAAATAATGAGCTATTGTAGAATAAAATGTCGTTATGTACCTTCGATTAATAACTCAAAGTATTCGTCAGACAAGCAAAAAAAAAGTTAATCATTTTCCTCTCATAATATTTCGAAATCAAGAATTTTAACGTACCATGTTGTTTTCCAATCATCATTTAATAATTCGAGTGTATCTGGTTGTATTCTATCGAATAAAGTCAGCGCTCGTTTAATCACCAATTCAAATTCATCTTCTTTTAATTCTGATGGTAAACGAGATAATAATTGATGTAAACATGCCATATCACATTCTGTTTCGAGTACACGATCACTGTTCAAGTTAACAATCTAAAAGTAAACTTATTTACTTTTAGAATTAGATAATAACAGAAATAAATGAGAGATAAAGATAAGAGCATCCTTCTACCTACTTCAGCTGCAACGTATATTGGCATAAGTTTATGTGATACAATAAATAGATCATATAGACGTAAAATTGTTTCTAATTCATCCAAAACATGACTAAACCAAGTTATGAACCAACTCAATGCAAACATCACACCAACACCACCTCTAAATTAAGATCAATATTTTTATAAATAGCTAAACTTAAAATGAATTGAATAATAGAACTTGAAGTATTTATTCTTCGATAGATAACATACGTCTTTATTCGAAACAACCTACCTTTGCATATGTTCAGCTACTTTACTGTTGATGGAATTAATTAAAGGCATTAAATAGTAGAGTAGCTCATTTGTTTGCTCCATTGTTGGTTCCATAAAATCTCTACGGATAATAAATCATATATTTTAGATATATAAATTTTTTTAATCAATATTTATCAACTTACGTCAGATGCGTGTCTGTTATGGTATCAATTAATGGTAAACAATTTTCTCGACCAAGCACCAATAAAAATGTTAAACAGATGTCATGATAACCCTAAAACTTAATTTATATTAGTATATAAAGTGAAGAAAAAGAGAATCACTCATCTTTACCTGATAATAATTCAGTTCATCATGTTTAAGAAGAAATTTAACTATAACATCGATTAAGATTTCTTGTAATTCCAGCCGTTCATTATGACCATAGTCTAAAAACAAAAGTAATAGATAATAGTAACTAATAACATAGAACATACCATTGTTATCAATATGAGTAGACAATTTCATCTATGACAAGAATACTTACTTGGTGGAAACCTTTTGAGTGTTCGTTCAACATCCATACGAACTTGAGCATAATAACGATGTGCTTCAATTTCTTTTTGTTCTAAAATAAAATCTTATTTATTCATTCATTTTAGAATGTATTATTCGTTCATTACTAGCATTATAATAAGTTCCATCACACACAAATTGTTGTGCAGAATAGTTATCTGTATTTAATTTTAATTTACAATAATTTGGTGAATCAATTAAATAGAGCCATGCTTGTTTTCGTATGAGATTATTAACAAGTCCATAACGTGTACGTGCATATTTTGTTAATAATTGAATTTTTTTTCGTCGATTTTTCTTTGGTTCATTAATAATTGCTTGAATACGTTCTGCTTTCGAAGATTTTTCATTTGAATAATTTTCTTGCTCATCGTGATTGATCTCTTGTAAAGGTGAAATATTTTCTTTATCATTATCTTCCCTATTCTCTCGTTCATCACTATTAGTATTATTATTATTATTATTATCGTCATCTTCTAAATCGTTCATTAATACATTAAAATTTGTTTCAGCATCGGAAAAATCCGTTATCGAATTATTATCACTATTGCCATCGTCTTCTAATGTGGCCAATTCGTCATCTGAGAAAGAAAAGAGAATGTACAATATTTTTCAACTATACATCTTACTTTCTGATAGTCCCTATTTACCACTTCTTAAATGAAATGCTGGAAAATCACTGAAATTATCATCATCATCCATTTGTCTACTGTACACATTCGTTTCTGTTATCTAAAACATGTATCATATAACTACAGTTTATCTTTTTTAATAATTTAACTTCTAAATCTTTCATTCTGCTAAGAAATAGTTAATTCTGTTTGAGATCTGTAGTGTGTGATAGTAGTGTTTTTTACTCTTTAACAACTCAGCTAAATTATCAGATACTTCATATTGCTGACACAACATAAATTAAGCATAAGTACTAAGCGTATTTTACTGCACTTTTTCAAAAATCTCACTAAGTAAACTATTCACTCTCACTTAATTAATTTAACGACATAGCATTTTTAGGGCCATCTGAGAAATACGATTAGTTGATTTTGGACAATTACTATTAGTTTTACATGCGTATATCAATTCTGACGTTTGAAAATCAAGAATACTTTAATCGAAAAAGGAACTTATGATTATTGTAATTTAGAAAGTATTTTAAAATGATAATTCATATCTCTTCGGTATCTTTTGAAGAAGTAGTGAGAATAATGTATAAACAAAACCATAAAATGCCTGTATTTATCAATTTGGTTAGCAAATTTGACTGCAGAGCATTAGGAACAATTACAAGATGGTGAAATAGAAGTTCAAAAAATGTTCTTTATACTAAGCAGAGATTTTTGTGACGTATGTCTGAGTCTACCAAACAATAGATAGTCTTAATTTCTCCTTCCTTTCGCCTTTTACTTTTTTTTTTTTTCCTTCGTTCTTTCGTTCGATTGTTCGTCACAATGTCAGCCATAACTATTGTTTGCAAACCCCTCAAAAATTTTGGTGCTTCTAATGGGTTCATAGAAAGAGCTAATCAATAATTCAGGATTATTATATATTGACAACGGAAGATCAATAAACTAAAATAATAAAATGAACAATAAACTCAAATCACTTCCCAAATTAATAATGACAGAAACTTGAATCTTATTATTCTAGTTACTTTTCCACTGAAAAAGAGATAATATGTAATAAAATATTTTAAAGTAAACTTATTGTAAGTGGTAACGATGAGTAAATAACCTTTTAAATACACTTTTAGCCCGAACGATTTATTCTGTATTTCTGTCTGTCTTTTAAAGGTTCTCTTTCACGAAATCAATAAAAAGAACGTATTGTTGTATTGTGTTTCATATCAAGTGTTTCACATCAATTAGATGTCTGTTTACAGGATCTGATATATCGTAATGAAAAATAAACGTTGTTTGATTCCACCTCTGTAATATTTCAGAAAGTAAACGATAACTAACTTCACTACTCTTTTTTTACTGGAGTAAGACTAGATACCGACAAAATTTGGTCCTAGTCTAACGTCAGATTCAAAGATTTTGATAAAATCTACATTTTTCTTTCTAGTCTAATGGTTTGTAGTACATACCCACGTTGTAGTATATACAGCAAAACTGCGGTTCTTTAAATAACCGCCAATTGACCGCGGTTCGCTATAAACCGTCAATTAATCACGGTTAACTGCCGGTATTTCTGATACCGCTGTTAGGAAAATTAACCTCCAATTGACCTCGTTATTCCTTATTGTCGAGTTATGTAAATACTATAGTATTGACAATAGACTTTTGTCGCTAGATTGATTATAAAGTGTTAATTTAACAGTTTCTACTCTGGAAAGAAGAAGTCCTTCACCTTTCCTTATGATTGAAGGAAAGAACAACAACTGTTTGCAGCTAGCAAGATAATTATATTCATCATTGTTACTCATTTTTTTAGACGTTTCTGTCTACTATCGTTTTTGTGTGTTGGTTAATTTTTGTTTCGTTAAATGTTCGATGTTAATGGAGTACATCAATGGTAGAAACACATTTAATTATCGCAGGTACATCGATAGCATTAGGAATTATTGGTATTAGCAGAGTAATTTATTGGATATTATTTCTAATCGCTTTTTTATGCGGGTATGTTAACATGAGATATGCACAAAAAGCTGCTTGTATTCTTATCTGTTTTTGTTTATGTTTTAGATTTCTGCTATACACAGTTTTTAATCGAAAAAAGCGAAATCGAGCACAAATAACTGCAACATCATCATACACACGGCCAAGACTTCTAACACATGTAAGAAATATAAACTAATTACTCTTCTAAGCCAGTATGTAGCTGTAGATATTGAACAATGTAAAAAAACTTGTAGTAGGATTTGACCAGTTTCTGCAGCATTTTAACCAAGATGGTATTGAACTTTTGATAGTCAGTAGTAATCATTTTCTGCTCAGATGTATCATGTTTTCTCTTTTCATTTTTTTTACACAACAGGTAGATGATATTGAAATAAAACTGTCATCATCACGTCCATCAAATACCAATATTGAACGTACCCCATTAACAGGCTCACGAGTGATTGATGAACCATTATACGAGGTTAGAAATAAACGACAATAGCTAACATTTTTGTGTTTTTTACTATATTTTCTGGATTTTTTTCCAGTTAATTGATTATTTCGTTCGTGATTATATTGAAATTTGGTATAAAACACAAATAAGTTCAGATGAAGATTTTATTAAAGATGTGCGAAATGGAATTTATACAACAATTCAACATTTGTCGGATAGGTTAGGATTAACAAATAAAAAAAGAAAAACAAACGTATAAACGGTTCTTTTTTACATTTTTGTTAGAATGCGTGAAATTGATTGGCTTGAATTTTGTACAACTACCGTTGTTGACAGTTTTTCTACACACGTAAGATTATTTCGAAATGCAAAAGAACGAATTAGACTAGAACGTCCAGCTAATGGTAATCTAGTGATCTTTTATTCTGCAATGTATACGTAAATAACTTTTTTTTCTTAATTATAGTCGACGTTAAATCGGTATTTTTTGATTTGGAAGCTGAATATGAACATGGAATATGTCGGGATGAAGTATGCACAGATAAAAAAGCAGAAACAGGTAAAGTAACAAGAATAAAAAATCGAGAGAAAAACAAAGACTATTTTTGTTTTTTAATTAGAATTTTTACAAGATCTTGCTGAAGTTCTCATTTATATATTATTACCAGCAAATGAATTTCGTTGTATTCCAGCTCGAATGATAATAAGAGTACGTATATATGTCTAGATTTTAAATGTTTGTCATATATTGTCATTATTTTTCAGGAAGTTGTTATTAATCTTGGAATATTACCGCTTATCGATTACTGGACAGATTCCGACGCAGTTAATCAACTAGTTATCAAAATGGTTCGTGATAATTGTGTCATTAGAAATGAATTTTGTACATGATTTTGATCGAGACATAATTTGATAGAAAAATACATGAAAAGAACATATTTTCTATTTTTATCTAAAAGTCTTGTTTCACAAATTCATTTGTCTATAAGTGTGTCAATATACAAAATATCTTTGATATTGTTCTTCATGTTGTAGTCTAGCCAAATTCCTCTCACAATTGATAACTTTTTACTTGTTGTTCGGACTACCGATTCTCAAGGAGAATTAAAAACGTTAACAGAACGGTTAGAACAAGAAATTGGTAAACTACGGTCAAAAGATATTGGGGGTGAAAATGGTATATTACTTGTGTTCAATCGTTGACTACTTTTAGTATTTTCTTTTTTTTTTTGTTTTTAAATAGATGCTGATGTTCGAGCAAAATTAAATAGCTACAACTATTTAAAACGTCTTTTGAGTGATAGATTAGAATTACAGCAACGTTTAGAACCATCACCATTCGTATGTGTTTTATCTTTTCTTGCTAACTTAAATTACTGTAGATTTTTTTTGTAATCACATTCTAGGATGATGACGATTTATCACAGAGAGTTCCCTATCACGATTTACCATTGACAGAAATTTTGAATAATTGTAATGGACTTGATTATTTTCTAAGTAAGAATGATGACTAAGTGAGGATATTGGTATCTGTAATTATTTTTATTCTATTTTTAGAATTTTTACAGTCTGTAGATGCTGTTGGTTATGGTAGTTTTTATCTAAATGCCGAAGTAACTTGAATATTCTATTACTAGAGGTTACGAAAATTAAAATGATTATTTTTAATGAGTAGGCATTTCGTTGCGCTGGAATATCTGTTCAACAGAACAATCACGATACATCGATGGAACAACATCAAGCAAATTTAGAAATGTTAAGAAATATGGCTAATGATCTTATTGAACAATATTTTTTGCCAACAGTATGATGCAATATTGAAATTGTCGGTTTATTTTTACTAATATTTCATCTTCTCTTGTTCTAGGGTACATTCAAATTGGCTCTAGATGAAAATTTAATTAAGAAAACATTAAGAATATTAAAAAGTGAAGCAATCGACGAGACACTACTAGATGATTTACAAAACAAAGTAAATATTACTTATCTATTGCATTGTTCATGCGATGATGACGTCTTATAACGGATGTATCTTTAAACAGTATCTTCTGTTTTTGTATCAATAATAGTAATGATTTTTTCAGGCATTTGAAATTCTTTCATCGGACAAGTATTATGGACAATTTAAAACGACGCCACAATATTTGAAAGTACTGAGTGAATTTGATTTTGCCGATTCTATGACAATGGATAACTCTGGTAAGAAGACATTATCATTTTTATGTCTCTTATGTTATAACATTTGTGTTTTTTTTAGATTCAGCCTCTCTCTCAAGTAATAATAGTAATGATGTAAGCATAGTGTCTGGTTAACTTTGAATTAAATTCTAGAAAAGAAACTTCTTTTAGCTAATTGGGGATTATGATAGTAACAATGCTGGTTCTGGATCAAATAGTAGTGGAGGAACGAGTGTGGCAGCTGTTATTCCAGATATTCTTGATAATATACAAAATTACACAATTCAAACAGCAATAAATGATTCAGGTAACTGCCTCATTATACTTTCTTTCTTTCATTTTCTATTAAAGATTTGCGTTTTATTGTTCTTTAGGTGTTTGTTCTGAGAAAGGTGAAAAGTATGCCATCTATGTAATATCTGTGTCGTGTAAACCTATTCATCCTGTGGAAAGTGGTAACATCGATATGTTAAAAGGAAAAGAATGGATAACTTATCGGCGTTTTAGTGAATTTAATGACTTAAATATGATTATACGAAAACGTTATCGAGATTTACAGCATATTCAATTGCCAACTAAAAGTTTAATTAATTCTACTAGTCAAGATGTTCGATTGAAACGACAGAAAGAACTGAATACTTATTTAACGGTAAGTATTTTTCACGAAAAAGAGGTTGCAGTCAAACACTTTTTTTCATTTTGACTTACTATTACTGTCTACTCGCGACTCGTCTCAAATTTAAGTTTCGGAATAAGCCATTTTGTTGAGCATCAGAATGATACGAAATCTAATAATATGAGCAGATATAATAAACATACGATCAGAATCAAGATCCACCATCAAGCAAGATCCACTCCTATCAGAAACTGTCTTATCATCCTTTAAAAATCACAAAGAACGTAAACAATCGTGCAGTTTATAATGATCTATCCAAAACTTTCGCAAACTGAATCTTAAGAAATTTGAAAAATGTTCATGATACATATAAAGTATAACTTCCTTTATCATTTGAATTATCATTCAATTTGACTACACTTATAACTAAAATATTGCTGTTATTTTATGCAAAAGTTCGGTCACATAAATTCTTGTTCTTCCGAGAATGTCGTGAGAACTGCGGAGAAAGTGTTCATATCATGCAAGTAGTCAATTTATGTTGTATAATACTAGATAAACCATTTTGTCTATAAGCAGTCGAAGTCAATTTAATATTGTGGTAGTAAGTCGATCAGCTACAATTTGATCTTTGCATTCTTATTTGACACTGTCATAATGAACAAGAGGATTATGTTCTATTAGCTCTTTTGTATATTGGAGTGGGTAAGTGTCTTCATACAAATTATATTTTGTATATCTTAACAACATCAACAATTTGCTGATATTCTTTTGGAGAACAGATATCGTTTCGTCAAAAAAACCAATAAACAATCATAAGACAAACAGTAAAAAAGAACTTGTCCATCTAGGACCATCAATTGTAAAATTATAAGAATTACAAAGATTCTCCGTATACACCCATTACAGAGAGATTAGTATCAGTTACTGAATTACATAATTAGTCTTGTGTAATTTTAGTTCTTTGTATCCTTGTTGTTCTTCTACACGTTCTTGAAATATTTTCAATTTTGTCTATAGCCTTATATTTTCAGTTAATAAATTTGTCCAGCCGCTTTCTAGCTATTGAAAAACCTAAGCCTTTAAGCTTGGACCAGTTTATACTTTCTCTAGACGATCAGTAAGAGGATGGATGATCCTTTCTGAAGAGCAAATCACTAAATTATTTTGATGATGTCTGATATATAGAGTCCTTGGTGTGAACATTTTATACATCCGAACTTGCCCCTAACAGCAGCATAACCAGATCTCATTTTTCGTCAACATTCTTTAGGGTGCACAATGCTTAAAGTTATCTCATTTCGCGAGGTGCAAACAAACAAATGTTTGTCATTGTGAAAAACTTGGTTACCATCACACTGAAAGAAGATTTTCGAACCCTGATCTGAACGGTTAAAATACGAGCTCAAGCATGACCTGACGGCAAAACTTCACTGATGTGTTCTCCTCTGTGCTAAGAGAAAAGTTACAGAAAAGTAGTCCCTCCCACAGGTTGTGTCAATCTAGTTTCTTAGATTCTGGCTTTTCTATAACTAAAAAGTAGTTGTAAAACAAACTTAAAAGTCAAGTTTAAAATTAAAATCTCGAAAACTATTGTTTTGATGATTGGTCTTCTTTTTCTTTATTTTAGGCATTAATAAATCCAAAAGTAATGAATAATCATCCTCATTTAGCTGATCTATTATTAAAATTTCTCCGAAATCAACAATGGAAATGTCAACACACAGATCTCACTCGAAAAGTATGTAATTGGTGTGAAAAAAGAATCTACTACAGAATGTGTTTTTTGATAAATTTATTATATACATAATAAACGGAAAGTGCCAATTTATTTTGCGTTTACTATCCCGTGGCATCTTATATATGTACAAATAATCTATTGTGTTCAAATTCAGTTTTAGTATTTATGAGCATTCTCTCTTTTTCCGAAAAGGTACAGTAGTTGATCAGTGTCATAGTATATTTTACTTAGATATACTGACACTTATTTTCTAATAGTTTTGCGCACATTATCTCATAATTTATCTCAAAATTGATGTTTGAATGAGCCATTTCTTTTTTTGAGCATCAGATTGATATGAAAACGTGGAAAAAATGAACTTTAATAGACTTTTTCTTAAAAAATGATGGCTATATTAAAGTTTCGATTAAACACACGCTGTTATGTTGATTTTTTAAAAAAAGATTTTATTTTTCAATAATGATTTTTGTTATAGTGATTGTGCAGAAATGTGATGAACAAAAAAATATCGACTTTTAACGATTTTAGAATTATAATCGGTTATTATCTCACCTTAATAGCAGATTAGTGCTCAAATCACTTACCCTCAGCAAACTGAGAGCAAACTGAATCGAATTATATAATCTCACACAAAAGATTTATTTTCTGATAAAAATAGGGCAATTTTCAGGATGTTCTAAAATGAATCCCACATCATCAAAAGTCTATATTTTTACGTTCATCACATTTCTGGTCAATTACTATCACAAAAGCTTATAGATCGTTGTTGGATAAATAATTTTTTTCGAAAAGTCAACATATTTGGATGTTTTTAGATCTGCTTTAGAAACCAAGTATTTACCATCAGTCCATATTTAATCAAAATAAAGAAAAAATTTTTTTTTCATTTTACTCTCAATTTTCGTTTGTCATCTTATTGAAAAGAGTTTACCGAAGACGTTACCTTTTTCATGATATATTTGGATGCTTGAATAGTGACTTCAATAGCTTTAAATTTTATGTATAAAAGATGTATACTTGACGTTTTGTTAAAGATACTACATTATATATTAATTTAATGTTTATAGGACGTTGTTAAATCGACGGTTAGTTCTAACAAGACTTAGAATAATGCACAAAAGTTTTGTGTATTCTACTGTTTGTATATACATGCACGATACTATGTTTACTGTTGTCATACACGCTTTATTTCGTTTTTTTTTTGTTGAAATCTATTAATCAAATCAATTTTATTGGGTTTCTTATTTATTGTTCTTAAAAAACTTGCACGTATGGAAAAATAATGTCTGCAAAGTAAGAAAGGATCACTATTGTTTTATAACTTTATTAGCAGTGATTTCTCTAACAGTGTGCTTTTGTTATAAGTTGCTAAAATCGGGAGATTTGAAATTATGGTTAACCGAAACTTATTACTTGGATGTCAGTCTTGACCTTGTGGGAGAATCTTTAAATCATCTTAAAACGAAAACAACTATATTCTACCTTTATTCTATTCAGTAGAATTTTTCTAAATTGACATGATGTATAAACTGCAGGTTAATTTGTTTAAAACGTTCTTTGAATGTTAATACCTGCTTTTTATATAATATATTCTGTTGTGTAGACAACTAGTTGTTTTTGTTCAATACAGTGCTATAGTGTCGTTTCTGTCTTTCAGGTTGATACTATCGTTACACCATTTAAACAATCGGCACTGGGTATTAAAAATGCTGTCACCTCACTACCTGGTAATGTGGTTAAAAGTGTAAATAAAGTTGCTGATGGAATACAAATAGTATCAGATAGTGTCACAGATAATATGGGAAAATTATTTCGAACTGGACAAGGTTTAAATGATACATCTCGAGATTTACAAACATTTCCAATTGTTGAAGATTATCAAGTATGATAAATGAAAATATATCAGTAATATTTTGCTTATATATTTTTGTTTATATAGAATGCTAAAAATATTCCATTACGTGTACTTCTAATTATTATGGATGAAGTATTTGATTTGAAACAAAAAAATATGTGGTTTCGATCAAGATTTGTATCGATATTAAAAAGAGTATTACGAACATTTATGGGTGATTCAGTTAATAGGTAATAAAAAAAAAACGTTGAAGTAATAATTGAACTCATTTATCACTATATTGATTGTTTACTTTTGTTTGTTTAAGACGAATTGTTGAATTTGTAAGACATTGGACATCAGCACCAAAAATCGCCAAAGAAATCACACGATTGAAGTAAGAATAGAAGTAAAAAATAAAGTTTAAGAAATTTCTTGGTTTTTCTTCCGTTAGAGATGACTATTGGCCAAACGGTATTATGGCTGATAAGCCATCTGAACGCGATGCAAGTGTAAGACATATTACACAAGTATTATGCAAAGCAAAATTATTAGGAATTGTATCAGGTACTGACGAATTACTTACACTAAAATATAGTTTTCTCTAATAAATATTCATCGTTTTTCTCTGTTTAGATGAATTACGTCATATAATTGGTAGTGAAACCACTCGTCGCGGTCTCTTACGTTTATTTGAATTATTACAAAATGAAACATTAAATCGTCGATTTATTTTTGTTTTACTTGAAGCATTACTCATAAAATTATTTCGTCCAAATGATTTACATTTAATATTTGAAAAATTATATTCGCAATCATCACGAGTTAAAGAAGAATATAAACGACGGAATAATGAAGTGACAGTAAATTCTGTGGATGAACAACGTGCCTATTTTTTGAATCGTTTAACGGTTCGAAGTGATGATCAATTAAATGTAAATATGATGTTGAAAAGAACAAATAGTATCAATAATAATAATAATAATTCTAATCTGACAACAAGAAATATGCCAAGAAGTTTTTCAAAAATATCACGATAATGTGTATTTCTGTTATGTAACAGAAATTTTGTCTATGGTTTTTTTTTTCTAGTTTTTTTTTTTCGATTTCCTGCCGGTGATGTTTTCTACCTTCACATGGTCTCCCTTATTTATTTGTTTGTTATGACGAAAATAGACATAGACGACAGCATCATTCTTATAAACCAGTTTAGAACTAATGGAATTTTTTCTTAAACGATTGAAAACATCGTTTTATCGTTTGTCATCCGTAATATAACATTTTGTATACATTTATTTTTGTCATTCCATATTGTATAAAACGGTCTGATAGTTGTTTTTGTTTGTTTTTTAAAACAGTGTCTCATTTCTTTATATGTGGATATTTTTTTCTTTTGTTTTGCTTCTCCTCAAATGGAAATGGTGTTTTTGTTTTTTTCTAATATTTGTACATAACGTTCTCCTATTTATATAATAGACAGTGCTTTTTCTTTTTTTTTCTATACTGATTAACCCATATACTCACACCGATGGTTTAGTGTTTTTTTTTGTGAACAAAAACAATGAATATAAGCAGAACAAAAATGTATTTTTCTTTTTGGATTTTGTAATAAAAGTTATTGTAAGTAAAATTTGAATCTCAATTATCATGCTACTATTCATCTTAAAATAGAATGAGTCAAATGTTTTTAAATGACTTGGAAACGAAAGATGATAGACAGATGCAGTTTTCATTATTCTGTAGAGAAATATTTACTATATCTTCTGCTATATGGGAAGAGTTCTGTCATGCTACTGGGCATCAGTAGAGGTTTGGTCTACAAAATTTTACAATAACTGCACAGTGCCCTCGCATATTTCTGTGTACCAGTAGAACGGACCTTTTGCAGGCATTTCTATCATTTCTTAACGAAAAAATTAAGAATTAATTTAAGAATTCTTTAATCTCTTGAATGCCGTAAGGCATCTGTTATAGATGCCTTACGGTCATCTATTAGATGATATGAAGGAAATTTTATATGTTGCATATGCTTTTTCGTTCTATCGTTTTAACGCGATAAAATCGTTGGACGCGAAAGAGAAAAAATAACGGCATTCAAGTGGTTAAGCCCAGGTCGAGTACATGAGAAATGGATAACGTCTCACGATCCGGAGTCCCGTGAAATGGCGTAGCACATGCTCAAACTTCTAAAAACACGAGGGAAATGATCTTTAAAAGTTAACTTTTTTTCTAGCCTTAATTGCTTTTAAATCTCAGTGAGAGCTAATTCATTGCATAGAACTTGAAAACACGCTTCGAATGCATATCTTGTTAATGTTTTTCCGATAGAATTCCGTATAGCAACAGATGTAGTGAATATTTCTCTACAGAATGGTATCATCTTTCGTTTCCAAGTCATTTAAAAACATCCGGGTCATTCTATTTTGAAACGGATACCCATTGCGAAATTTTTCAAAGAAATGTGCCATTTTTTTACAATTTTTCTTCCTGAACTGCGGGTTTATTGCACGATTGTTGTAATGTGTTGCTGCTATACTGTTGCTTGCTCAAATTTTGACGGAAACTGATTTCGCTTGAAATCACAGAATATATGGATAGTTTTTCCCATATTTATAAATATTTGGATTATGAATAGAATTCTTCAAATGCCAGTAGTGTTAAATGCGTTTAAATGCTTTGTTTTACAAATGAGCTTTAACTTTTTCATAATGCAAGGGAAATTCAAACAGGGGCCTGTTTCTCAAAACAACTTAAGTGCGGCCTGTTTCTCGAAAAAACTTAAGTTTTACTTACGTGAATAATTTCACTTAAGTAAACAGGAAATTATACTTAAGTGTTTTTGAGAAACTCACTTAAGTAGAATATTTTAACTTAAGTTTTTTTGAGAAACAGGCCCCAGATTTTAACTTAATCCATTAAGCACCATGATTCCCATTTGGGAATATTAAATGAATGATTCTATTATTTCCAGATGTGCAAATATTTTTATTATGCAGCATATTGTTGAAGAAAGCATAAGCTTTGTCTCGTGAAATAATCGGCATGACTTTCAAATAACAGAAAATTGCCTAAGAAAATTTTGAGGGATCTATGTTTGAAAACCTTAATAAAAATTCCATAAAATAATATATTAATGAAAGTTAAGTTTTAAACCTTATTTCGTCCAGAGATGGGCAAGTCCAAGTCTAGGCTGGGACTGAACGTATGAGCGGCTTGGGCTGGACTGAGACTGAAGACATAAGTGACATGGACTTTTTTTTAGCAGATTTTTTCACATTTGTGACTGGACTTTTCAGTTTAAATTTGAAAAAATATGAAAAGAATAAAGAAATTGAATTCACACTTTTATCTTTTTGGTGTTACCACGTGGTTGGTTAAGATTAGCGCTCATCAAACTTACAAGAGTTACTTATAATTAAAAGGTGGCTGTTTTTTTTGCTGTTGTATTTTTTTTGTAGCTATAGCCATGTAAAGAAACAGTTTCTCTTTGGTAAAAAGAAGAAAAAGAATGGAAGTGGAAAACAGTGTATGTTGTGACCGATATTGAACTTGAAGCTTAGCGGATGAGGACTGGACTGGGATTGGAGCATTTTAGCTGCATAGAGGACTGCGACTGATTCGATAGAACTTTCGGTTTACTATTGGTGGTATATTTCCTGGAAAGACCCACCAGCACCAGAGTGATCTACTAGTTGGAGATCGACTCTATCTGAGACCCAGATAACCGTAGGTTAAAACATTAGCGAAGTAATACTTAGGTGAAATAGAAGAGAAATTCTAACTTGAAAAGTTGAGGAAATGTAGCTCACGATACTTCCATTGGTTGTACTAAATACCGCTTCTGAACGCATTTAAATGCATTTTTTTTCCGAAGAAACCCCTTTAGATTCATTTTTGCATAGAAAGAAGTAATAAACCTGAGAAATGGAACATTTCTTCAAAAAGTATTTATTTTACTTTCTACTGCATCTCTATGTATTCTTTTCTCAAGTATTGTTTCTTTCTAGATATCTCATTAAACATTTTCCATCGGTCTAAACGCACTGGCGGACCATGCGACCTTCTTTATTGGATCTTATAACAACAGATAAATGTATGTAGTTGAGCGATTATGGTATTCCTTTAAAGAGAGTGCATGAGCCTGGCCCGAAAGGTCAAAACATGAAAAATATATTTTTTATGTTTTCATTCGATTCTACACATGACACTGTAGTTATGAAAATTTTTTAGACTTTCAGATCTCATATTGACAGAGTTATAAGACTTTTAAAGTAAAGTACTTCAATGATTCAGAAAAAACGCCACCGTTAGTATTTTCGATTTCTTGAGGTCAAATTAAGTCTGTTGCAAGCAACATCAAGCAACATTTCACTCAAAAGAGCATCTAAAACTGCATCAGATAATGCAAAAATAAAAAACCAAATCGAATAATCCGTATTTGAAGGAGTTTCCGATTTTTTTTCTAAAAATGGTCCCTTTACCCCATCAGAGCAGAGCTAAAATTTCAAAACAAAACAACTTTGGAAAGTCCTTGAAATATGGATCATTCGGTTTGGTTTTTGATGCTGATTCTAAATAACACCTCGTTTTGTTTCAAACTCACATATTAGTGGTGAAAATTTGAAATCATAAGGCCGATTTTTTCTGTTACCGGCTACATTTGTTTCCGAAATTTTGTCTTATGTCCCATTGAAAAGTTTAAAAATAAGCTCATCTTCAGCAGAATCGTCTGCTCTGCAAAAGGCATCTTAGAAATTCCATAGCATATTCAAAATGGCTTTGCAAATTTAAAAATACTTTGAAATTTGACAGTTTTAAAAGGTGGAAAAACTTGAAATTTTAAGTTTTGAAACTCAAATTGGAAGTGTTTTTGAACAACAACTGCATTATTTGATGCAGTTTTAGATGCTCTTTTGAATGAAATGTTGCTTGATGTTGCTTGTATCAGACTTAATTTGACTTCAAGAAATCGAAAATACTAACGGTGGCGTTTTTTTCTGAATCATTGAAGTGATCTCATTCTTTTTCCGTTCTTTTCTCTTCTCCTGCCTTTGAACTATTTTCCTTTTCTTTCTTTATCTGTTTATATATTCTTTTTGTTTCTAACTACTGAGGATGATATGTTAACATATCGAAACGTTTAGTTATATTTATTAATAAATACGAAGGGAAAAGTTTAAAGACTATTAACTAAATAGAAGTACTTTACTTTAAAAGTCTTATAACTCTGTCAATATGAGATGTGAAGGTCTGAAAAATTTCATAACTACAGTTTCATGCATAGAATCGAATGAGAACATAAAAAATATATTTTTCATGTTTTGGCCTTTCTTGCCAGGCTCATGCACTCTCACTTAAAAAGTAGCTTTGTTAAATAGTGTCGTAAATAAACAATTGAGTGATATCTTTTATCGAATATTCTCTCTAACTGTGGACTTAGAGCTCAAGTTTCCAAGACTTGGACATTTCTATAAATAACGATAAAAGGTCTTTAAACTCCCACTACTTTTTGCATAAATGACATGTAGAAGTATGTAATCAATGATGCTCATTCCAAATATCATAGTGTGAGATGTTCATATACCTTTAGAGATCGGCTTATAGAAAACCAGATTTTCAAGCTCAAGTTATTTTTGTGAAAAATTCGATTTTGACCTTGTCAACTGCAGAAAACATTGATTTACCTATGTAAGAAGACTAGCATGATCATCGGATGAGTTTCGACCGTGTTATGGGCAGTTTAATTTTCGGTACTCGCATAATCGAATAATTGTGTACTTTCCTAGAAAAAGCTGGAAAAGAAGCACAAAATATTGTTGTCACTTCGAATATGACTTCAGACTAACTCTACTGTTTTATTTGTTTTTCTCTTATTTTCCACAAGTTCGTTGTTTTTCAACAGTTTTCACATTTCACTTGTATGCGAAATTAAATTGCGTATAACTCTATCAGAATTCATTCGATCCATTGATCATGAAAATCTCCTCACATAGGTAAATCAAAATCCATTGCAAACTGGCAAAGTCCAAAGCATATTTTATCCAAAACGCTAGAAAAATCTGGTTTTCTAGAAATCGATCTTCGAAGATGTAAAAACAGTTGGCATGAGTATTGAGAATCAGCATCACTGATTACATATTTCTACATATCTTTTATACAAAAACCTAGGAAAACTTTTATAGTTTGATGCTCGTAAATAGCGGTTGTAAAAAAATCTGTTAACTACAAACAAGGTCAAGTTAAGATTAAAAATTATTGTATATAACACAAGGGGGGGAAAGCAGCACCTAGTGCCGATTAGAGTGCTGAAAGGTACTGCTGTGCATAACATACGGTAGTGGGATCGAATCACACATTGCACAGATCTTTTCGTTTACGAATAAACTTGGAGAAGGAAGTTTGGCTGCATTTACACCATACTGCTAAAAAGACACCAATACTTTATTTTTAATTCGAATGGAAGTAAAATAATAAAAACAAGTTCTTGGTCGGATTCGATCCCTTTACCCATCCACCATCTTGAATTTTGCGAAGCAAGAACGTTACTGATAGACTAAATCGGTAGTTTTGGGTGCCGAAAAGGTGCTGAGGTACTAAAAACACTACTAAAAAACGTTTTTTTCTCTGATATAAAATAAATTGGCCGTATCTCTCGTATATGCATAGACGTGTGAACTTTACCGAATACATTTTTTTTCGGATCGACTGTATCTGAATCGTATTCTAATATAATTGTACAGTCCCAATGAAAAAGATTTTGTTTCTGTGTATATGATTCGCTGTTAGAGAAAGAAGAAAATCAATTACGTGTTTGTGTCATGGGAATTTTCTTTCGAGCGAAATTTATATGTCATTTTTTATATCACTGCAGGTTATACAAAAAGAAAGAAATGAAAGGTATTCGAAATTGACCATCTAAAAAAATGCATGTAAGTACAGTAAGTTGGTGTAATTCTAGACAACATTTTTAATTTTTACAGTATTTTGAGTGTACCTGAAGCATTTTTACTCGGAAAAAACGGCCCTTCATAGGTAGATAGACTGGACAATTCTCTATCTACTGATATAAAAATCTTGTAAAAACTCAATAAGACTAATTAGTACTTGTCAATTTCCAGAGAGCTCTATCAAATGTCCGGAATTACCATACCAGGGTAATTCTGGACAGCTAGCAAAAATGTCTGAAAGAGAGTAAAACAACTTTTTTTCAACGGCAAAGTTCTACCCTACTAATTAAAAACTATACGACCTTGCAGAGAATTTTAAGCTCTTTCTACCTTGTATATTGCTAGTCCTTTAGACATATCCTTGATTAATTAATTAAAACTTACAAAAATAAAAGAACATAGTCGTTTTTTTCATGTTTTATTTTTGGGATAATTATGGACAGTCCGTGTAAATCGCATGCGATAGACAGAAAACAACTTCCACCGTCTTTTAGACAGATATTTTGACATCATGCTAAATGGCAAAGTTGTTTAGAACCATGAGCTCTAGCATATATGTAAAAGGGACAAACGTAGTGCATTTTCACCGTTTCCTGTAGAAAATATGAAAATATTTTTGTTTTTGAACGTATTTTTGTCGATTAAAACTAAAAGAAAAATGAAATTAGAACTTAATTTAACATAGAAAACTTAACAGCCGAAAACCCACCAAACATCCCAACTTACCCTACATTGAGTCCATGCTTTGTGACATACATATGTCTGCACAATACAAAAAACATATCTAGTCTATATTTTAACATCGGAAGAAAATTTTAAATGTCATTAGTTAAGATAAGAAAGAGAAAAGTCAGAATTGATAAAATAGCAACGACATCTGCTTTCTGATTCATATTTATTATTTTATCAATTTCAAGGCTTCGACCGCTGAACAAGTGTAATGTTTGAAAGAGAAAAGTATCTTCTGGGCTCAGGAAACCTATGCCCATGACATGAATAAAATATGTTTTGTATGAAGAAGAAACGTCTCCACACCATAAGATTCTCACTCAAGAAAGTCATGTATTTTAGAAAAATATCTTCGTTAGGACCAGTGATTCCATCTGGAGAAAGTTCAACATGTTGACTAATCTGTTGAAACGAGCGTATAGAAATAATTTATTTCAGTTCTGTTTTCGAAAACTAAGACTGACAATGTTGAAATAAATTTACTCTCTTTTAACTTACTCTCAAAACGATCCTTATATGATTCTGAACTTCCCTCCTATTATGATCCTATATGATACGACGATCCTCAGAAATCGTTTTTCCCCTCTCTTGGTCTGAAAACTGTTCTAGAATCAATTTATTTATTTACTGCAGAGATCCAACCGAGGAGCGAGAAAATCACGCGGTCAAAGGTCCAGAGAAACACCGCCATCTCGGCGATATCGCCAGAAAAATCATTATCAACAAAATGATCAATTAACAATTCCCGCATCACCAATATTAAATCATTCTGTTGACCATTTTTCTTGTCCAGTGGAATCCTCTAATGATAATAACCAGACGATTGCTGCAATTGACAAAGACATATTGCAAAATGTCTCAGATGTTGATATCTCCAATAAATTCTGTGCACTAACAACAGCAAACGATGAAATAGAGGAATTACTCGGTTCTCAGTCAGAAACCACTATTGATCAAGACTTACATCACTTAGATCAGGAAGAAGAACAATCATCATCGCTATCAGATAATTATGATCAGTTTTCAATTGAACTCCAGAGTGATCCACTAGTAAAAATGTTAAATAAAAATTTATTATCGATACTAAATGAATATTCACAATTAAATCAAGTTTCATTAACATTTCAATTAATATCACGATCAGGAAGTAGTCATCAACCAACGTATGTAAATACCACATTAGTCTTTTGAATTATTGGTTAACATTTATTATTTATCTACTTTCTTATTCAGATTCGCTGTTGCTGCTATGATTGACGATCGACAATATTCAGCTATGTTAGCTACAACAAAAAAAGAAGCATCATTAGAAGCAGCAAAACGAGCTCTATTTCAATTGACAAATGAGGCGAGAGCGTCACAAGTAATATACTTCAAATATCATTTTACTTCGACGTTAGTTCACTTGTTTGATGTTCACAGAAATTTCTACAACCAAATTCAAATTCACTTCATGATCGTGTTGCATTAAAATCATTATTAAAATATCAAAACTTATCGATATCAGTACAATTAGAGTTGATCGGTTGTAAAGTATTAGCAGCATTTTTAATTGAAAATATCGATGAAGACAATAGTTTACAAGTAATTAGTTTAGCAACAGGTATATAGATGAAATATTTTAAATAGTTTATACGTTTATTATCTTTGATTAATTTTCATTTACCGGCAATAAATGTGCTAGTGGATCGTCATTAAGTTCAAATGGAACAGTTATTTATGACAGTCATGCCGAACTCTTAGCTAGAAGAGGATTTCTAAGGTTAGTTAGAATCAATATCTTGTATTAATAATTATCAGTAGTCCTATCAAATTTCTTCTTTAATATGTCGATTTTTTAGATATGTTTATAATCAACTTGAATGTGCATTAAAATATAAAGAATCAATATTTGAAAAATCGACAGCATTGAAATATCAGTTAAAATCAAATATAAAAATTCATTTTTATACGTCAGTTGCACCATGTGGTGATAGTGCCTTGTTTATTTCACGGTAGATATAGCAGTAATTTCCTTTCTTCTCTTCTTATCGTACTTGTATGTCATCATAGTGATAAATTAAATGAAACTCCATTAAACGAACAACAACATCATCAGATGTATAAAACAGCGCGTACACAAGGACAATTACGGTCGAAAATAGAAAATGGTATATTTAGTTACATATATAGATCTACTTCTAAATCTTGTCGTCTGTTTTTTAAAGGTGAAGGAACATTGCCCACAGAATCAGCTACCTATTATTTATCCTATGATGCGATCGTTAATGGTATGCATGTTAAAAATATGTCATGTAGTGATAAAATATGTCGATGGAATTTACTTGGTGTACAAGGCGCATTGTTGACAAACATTATCGAGCCAATTTATATTAGTTCAATCACTGTCGGTCATCCATATCATCATGGCCATTTATGTCGTGCTTTATGTTGTCGTTTACAAGATTATTTTTCCACGTGTCCATTATCTTCACCCTATCACTTAAATCATCCAATTATCGGTCATTCGAGCTTGGAATGGAAACAAACATCAAAGCAACGAAATATCGATGATAGTTTAAATTGGAATGATCATGATCAAACGATTGAGTTACTCGAACCTGCCATTGGAAAGCAAAAGTATGTAAACTTATAAGAATAATCCAATATAGAATGGATCATTGAATTTTCTATTCTTTAAATACCGTTTGGATTCATACGCTATTGTTAGGTTGCATCACAGCTTTTTCTGTTTAGCAACAAAACTGAAAATGCTTATTGACGAAGTTGTAGGCCAACATAGTATGTCTTTTGCAAGCAATTTTCATCAAAATAATAGTCCAGAAACCGCTAAAAATTTTCATTCATATCGTATATTCACTTGACTTTGATTTTTCGCGTTACAAAGCGCTTAAATATCGTCAAAAACAAGATTTCTTTCTAACAGTATTTTTTACTTACCTCCATTGGTTTTATTTCTTAGATAACGAAATACTATGTAAATACCAAAGTTATTGTGTGTTGCACAGCAGAAAATTCTCTATCGTTTGAGTTTAGAATGGACTCTCGAACCTATGCTTCGATGTCCAAAAAATTAAACAAAACGTCCTGGTAAACGAGCGCCATCGAACTTTTTTCTGAATAACAGAGTACGAATTTGGCACGAAACCTTTTTCAAGAGGACCTTTAAAGACTTCGAATTCGTTTCATCGAAAAAAGATGGGAGTCATTGAAGTCAGAATGAATTCTAAATTTTATCATCGACTATTCTGAGCCTTTGTTATTCCAAAGAAAGTGAGGAGTGAAGACGAGTTTTGAAAAAGTTGTAGCTATAGGCCTATAAAACCAGAATATTCGTATCTTGCTCAAAAAATGTCTAGAAAAAATTTAATGTTTATCGGTGTTCTCAGTATTTAATCTACTCATTTGATTATTGGTCTGACAGTTTCAAGTGATTTGGTCTGTCAATTTGGTGATATTTTAAGCAAAATACCGATATTTTTCTTTTGTACGATCAATCTATTTCCAAATGAATAGCTGAATTCATCAAAGAGTCATTTTTTTGCTTTCTGCTTTAGACCGACAAATACTACATCGCGTTTGAGTAAACGTGACTTATTTATACTCTTTAAAAATTTATTAGAACTCAATGATGATTATAAACGCTTGTATTCAACAAAAAATTATTATCAAACAAAACAAGCATCTCAATTATATCAAAATTGCAAACACGAATTGTTTCGAGCATTTGAAGTTTATTACAATACAGGCTGGATATGCAAAGATCCATCATTATCAATGTTTAATATTCGGAAAAAAGTACCAGTGACGTCCACTGATCTTGTATGAAAATGCAACCACTTTTTTGTAGAACTTTTCTCGCACTACTATGCATTTTTTGCTTATTCCTGACGAAAGTTGAAAGCCGCATGACAACCCTACAATTATTGTCATTTTTCACGGCCAGTTAAAACATTGATTATTTAGTCAAAATCGCTTCAAACTACTTGGCATTACGATATCTTTATCTATTTTATCATGCTAAACTTGCTTCTATCCTCACAATAAGCAAATAACATTTTCTAGCTTTCGACAAATTCATAATTACTCTCTTGAATTTCTAAATCTAAATACTTTCTTAGTTAGTTTTTGAAATCTTTGCTGAACTTCTAAGTATAGTAAGAACAGAATACATAGATCGATAGGGGCAGAACGCTTCGAATTATCTACTTGTACTAAAAATGGGCAGTTCTTCATAGAAAGCTTCGCGTAGTGCAGACTGCAAGTAGAGTCCTGTAGGTTAAACCTAACCAGGCATGGACGAGTCCGAAGGGGTACCGAGTCCGAGCCGAGTCCCATGGGGTAACGAGTCCGAGTCCATTTCGAGTCCGGTAATCTTTTAGATTCTTTTTTGATGAGGGTGGTTTATTTCTCTTTTTTAATTTACTGAGCCCCGAATACAAAAACTCGAATTCGAGTTCAAGTCCGGACTTGGACTCGCCCACGCCTGGACCTAACCTAACTTAACCTAACCTATAGGTTAAGTTAGTTTAGGGTATGAAGTTTTTTATAGGTTAGGTTGTAGGTTATGCCATTGATAACCTATTCTTAATCTGAATGAAAAAAACCGATTTTGAACGACCACATTAAAACAGTCAACACTTTGAGTAATAAAGCGTAGGCCGAGTGGAATTTTATCAATTGAGGATGAAGTTCAGACTGAGGTTATCTAGTTTAAACTGAACTGAAAAATAATACAATCAAAAAAGGAAGTACAGAGAAAAAACTTCCGTTTGTTAAAAAAATAGATGGCAGATACACAACAACAACAGAACCTTCGTAGCATCGAGAGCCTAAAATGGAATTCTGGTCTACTCCTAAGATAGTCTCCCTATTCAGAAAGCTATTTTCAAAAGATTGCATTAAAGAATAAAAGACTCAACCGATTCATTTCTATATTCATGTAAAATGTGATTTATTTTGTATAAGCTTACCTTTCAGACGGTGACAATAACGATATGGTACAAAGCTGAAGTTTAGGTTTCTGAAACCAGGTTTTGGAAAAAAATTGCAAAAGGTTGTATTAGGTTAATCTGGGTTAGGTTACGAAAAACATTAATAGGTTAGACTAGGTTTAGGTTGTGAAAATTTTTATAGATTAGGTTATAGATTGTCAAAAAGTCGTAATCTGCAGGGCTGTAACTGCAAGTCTCTAACACTTTTTGTTCGAAAGTTATTCGAAAAACAGTCACACGCATTCTTTTAAAAAATAGTATATACTACATTTAGCGATGTGATGATACTTTGATATCAGTAACCGATTGATTTGATTTTTGATCGAACAGCATTGTTTCGGTTTCCTCTCAGGTTTTGTTTCAATGTTCTTTGGTTTATTTTATGTAGTTGTTTTGTATGTGTGTGTGTGTGTGCTGTAAGTCGTTATTCTGCAGGTCTTATTTTATTTTGTAAGAAAGACTCAAAATAGTATTTACAGTAACATCAGATATCTAATGCTTACTTTAGCGGGAAATTGGAAATCTTGTAAATAATTTTTTTAAATAATTTTTCTTAATATTCTTAGTATATTTTTTGATCTTGTACATTTTTCAGTTATTTTTTCTTTTTTACTATTATTTTTTGGTTGTGATATAGACTCAATGTCTGATTTTTCTTTGAATTTTAGAAGCAATCCAGACAAAAAATGAAACATAACATCTGTTCTATTTTGCAAAGTTAACTATCTACGATACTATTATCAATCAGTCCAGTGGAAGTCTAATGAAAGTTAACTTAGAATTCTCCTTAGTCCTGGCAAAAAACAATACAGCATTTTCCGTTCGAGATCCCACAGTAGGTTGAGAAGGCATCTGTTTAGTTCATTGAATCTCTGTAATAGTGACTATGAGTTAGCACCTAAAAAACATCCATTTTTCTACTATAACAAAATTAGAATCAACTTGAAAATGAAATGGGTCAAGTTAGTGAAAGTTGATGTTGATTCAAATTAAATTTTAAACAATTGTCTAAAAAATATAGTTTTTAATTTAAAATAAATGATGTCTATAATTTGCCATTTCTATTTTTAAGTGTATTCGTGCTTCTTCTACTTTTGCTTGTGTTTCTAATAGAGTTAAAATAAACTCGGTTGGTTATTACTTTTTACTGTTTTATTTGTAGAATATTATTATCAACTGTTATGGCATCAAAAAGTTTGGCAACATTGGGTGGTGGTTGTTTTTGGTGTTTAGAGGCTGTATTTCAACGTTTAAAAGGCGTTGAAACAGTAGTGAGCGGTTATGCTGGTGGCAAAGGATCAAATCCAACATATGAGGCTGTTTGTAGTGGTAAATCAGATCATGCTGAAGTTGTACAAATCACCTACGATCCACAAACATTAGCCTACAAACAACTATTAGATATCTTTTTTTACATACACGATCCAACAACATTAAATCAACAAGGTAATGCATCTAACATTAGCATTTGAAACTACTATCCGTTCCAAAATACAAGAGCCCTAGTCATTTTTTGAATAACTTTTGATACAAGATAGGTAGAGACTTACGATTTTTAGCATTTGAAATAGGACACCTGAACACATATTTTCGTAAGGAAAAACAATTTCGGAAAAGTTTCTAAAGCCGATTTTTCAGAGGATCTTTGGAAAACCAACTCCGTTTTCAGAAAATTAACATACAATGTTAGTAATTTTTTCGTATGCGTAGATAGTCCGGACATTATTCTACAAAGTTATGCAAATCCCAGCTCTCCAGCTATCGTCTTTTGGACAGGGTTCGCTTTCCCCGAGCACGTGTCTGTCTCCTAGCAGACATCTTTGGGAATCTGGAAATGCCCTCGAATATAGGTAATCGACTACGGCGAGCATAGTGGTAACATTTGTTATTGTGAAATGAAAATGACTTCGCCAGGGGCTTTTAGTGAAAAACTGTTTTTTCGCCTGCTACTTGCAAAAATTAAAATCCTTATATCTCGGTCAAATCCCCTACTGACTCAACGAAATTTTCAGGAAACGCCCAGAACAGCTCATAAATCATAATCGAAGACGAAAAAGGTGAATTCCAGCT